GTTATTGCTGTATTCTTGCTAGAAAGTTTTTTGCTTTTTGTCCAGTTTTGGTAAAATGATCTACGGAGAAGAGTTCAATTTCATTCTTTCTATAATAGCTAATTAGTAGTAATTAATGATGTAATTTCACCTGACAAAATTAAATAAATAAGGTGATCGATCAGGTGAATCAAACCCTCACTTCAGTTTATGCTTGAATAAATTTACCTGTGGTAGAGACTTCATTGCAGTGAGACCTTGAAGTAGAAGAAAGATGATGTGATAGAGCATTAGCTTTGGAGCAGATACAAATGCTAATATAAAAGTACAATGAGTGCACAATGACACAATCAGAATATTTGGGTGAGAATTTAGTATTGATACGATATTAATTAATCCCCATAACAAATAACAATTCTCTATTTAAAATTACTCTTTTAATTTAATTTTTGGAATTATTTTTTCAATTTAATTTTAGAATAACTACTTCACTTTAATTTTTAGAATTACTTTTTCAATTAATTTTTAGAATTGCTTTTTCAATTTAATTTTCAGAATTACTCTTTCAATTTATTTTTAGAAATACTTTTTCAATTTAATTTTTAGAATTGCTCTTTTAAATTTAATGATGTATCTGATTTTTATTATTAAAATTTTAAATAAAAATAAATTCGTAAATAAAGCTAGAAATTAATGCAACCTTAACATGCTTATTGATCAACTTTTAATCAGCATAATTTTTTTTACTTAATTGATGTTAAGCGATATACACAGTATTGCAAAAGCTATGATAAATGCTTTCAAGAGGTAAGAATAAACTCAATAAACTCAAGACGATATGATAAAAAACTCTTAATGCAAGGGAAAACGCTATAGTTCAAATGTGAGGTGAATGTACAAATATTATTTAAATAATTTTAATACCATATGAATAGGAGCGGAATGGTGAACTTAGAGCCTTACTCTTAAGAATTTAACCGATGTCCGGCTCCCATCACTGTAAGGACTTAATTAGGCGTCGCAACCCTGCGATGTGCTTATACATCGCATATTAATGATCGACCAATAAATTCCAATATCAGATGTAACGTAGCACGATCAAGAAAACGTTCGTTTTGACAAAAGTCACACTTATAACTCAAAATTTCACATTAACTATCTTTTGCACTCTAACAAAAAAGAATTTTCTTGAAAATTTTTACTATAAATCATGTTCCGTTTATTGCATCTAATCCTGCATAACCCTAACCCTAACTAAACAAAAAACTAGTTTATTTTAGTTGTTAAATTATAATTTGTAATATATGCGATGTATAAGCACATCTCAGTATGCGACGTTTACATTTATTCTTAAAGTAATATTGTTTTTAATTTAATGGAATTCAACTTAGCTTCCAAAAAGCACCAGGAAGAAATTGTTTATATACCTTTTCATTACTGTTAGTTAAAACCATCCCAAATAGTTATTAACTCTTCCCGATGGTTCTTAACTCCCTGGTCTTGGTGGTTTGTAACTACTCCCAAGTATAAATTTTCTCAGTCGATATGAATTACCGACCTCGTATTACAAAAACAGGAAAAATGCAATAAATTTCATTTAAGGCATAACTCCGTAAAGTTCTGATTAATGTATGATATAAATTTCCCATTCAATTTCGTTAGTTTTCAACGTTTTACGCCAATAAAATATTCTTCAAAGCACAAAAATACAATTCTTTGAGTTATAATATAGACAGTATCCGGTTATCAATCAAATTTTAATCCTCAAATTATCTTAGGTAAAACTCATAGAAGGATCTACAAACCAGTGCTTTACGATAAAACGATAAATAATGAGCAAAAAGAAACGTTGGTTGATTAAGAATTGATTATTATATCAGCAAATATAAATTGAATTTTAAATTTATACTTATTGGCACAACTCTTTTAGGGGAAGTTTGGACTTTTAAGTGGAGAATTTTGCGTCTGCCAAAATTATGCATATCGAAGTTATAGATTTATCAATTTCTTGACAAATATAGTTAAATAACTATTTAAGAGTTAAACAAATATATTGTGTTGGTTTTTGTAGAATACTTTGGCTTATTATTTTTAGAATTGCGCATTTAGAAATTAAGTGACTTAATTATTTGCCTAAATGATTCAACAAAATTAATGCAATTTCATTAACTAATAAACTAAATGCATTCTCGGACGTTTTCAGTAATTAAAAGTAAACAATAGTGTACCGATGAAGACCAATTAGCGTTAGTATGGAAACCTTTAATTAATGACAATCTTTAAGCTTATATATGTTTAGTTAGTACACGTAATGGCGCAGCAAATTGAATATTATTAAATTGAGTACAAATTTATTGCGATATTAAAAATTATTGACGTTATTGTTCAGTTAATACCGTTTTATTATTATTATTATTATTATTATTATTATTATTACTATTATTATGAATTAATGATATTACTAAAACCAATAAGAAGGAACATGTGTAAGTTTAACAAAAGTATAAAAAATACAATGATTTGATCTCTTTCAAAAAAAATAAAGTACGTAAATTTCAAAACCAAATTAACTGCACATAAAACATTACTTTTTTAAAATGGTAGATGTTTAATTACAGTACTAAAGCAAAAAAATTTTAATTTTAAATGTTATTGTTTTGTTAAAATAAAAAAAAAACTTTTATAACTTTATAGAAATTTAGAGTGAGTGGATTTCTCGTTTTTTTGATTATGGCTTTGGTGCTAATCGCCCAAATTGATGCCTGCAAGCACAAGAAATGCAAGTCACGTCCTAAGCCATCTCCTACTACGACTACTCATATACCAAGTAAAATTTAAATTTCTTTAAGCAATTTGAATTGTAATCTGTATGACACATTTTACTAACGTTTTGCTTATTCTAGGTTGTCGTGTATCTTGTCCCCCGTGTGCTACTCATAGTCCAATTCATTGTGATATCGCTTGCCAAAAAATATGTGATTAGAGTTTCCCTTTAATCAAGCATCTATTAGTGTCAGAAATCGATGTTTTGCGATTGTAGCATTGTAACAATATAGAATACTGTAACAAATTTTGTTGACCTTATAATAATAGTCATATTCTCATCATAATTAAAGTATATGTTAGGCTATATGCATTTAGCTGTCAAACATTCTTATTAATCGTTCTTAATATCATTAACTTGTAATTAAATGGAATGATTTTATACGGTAAAAAGGCGTGACCTCTGCAGATCATTGTGTAGTATGAGAAGATTTTCGATTCTAAGAGAATTATACAGATTTCCAAATATATAAAGATATAACTGATCGAACATATGATTTATAGAAAGTTTAGAATCTTCGAAATTCTCCACTATCGTTATCACGAAAATTGTTGGTCACACCCTTTTGCAAACAGCTATAATAGCATACATCCAAATTACCTGTTGATTTATTTTTCGATAATCAACTCATGGTTCTGTGCCTTGAAAATAACCTTACAGGACTATGTAGAGTTTATTAATAAAAATTAAAATTTCTAACCATCCAGTAATCCAAGTTAAATAAACCCTTTATTTTGTAATGCTTAACGAGTTCTACAAAATAAAAAAAATTTATTTGAATTGGATTAGAAATTTTAATTTTTATTCATAAAATCTACATAGTGTGAAACCGGAATATCATGACCGATCACGTGAAAATTGTACAATTTCAATAAGTTATATTTATGCTAAGAAATGGTATTTCGGATCCAAAGGGGTAGACAGGGAATAAGGGGAAGAAATAAAAGGATATTAAATAAATATATATAAATAGGTTTAATTAGTTTTAATAGATAATAAGTGTGGGGTTGGGTACTTGTTAAGCTCTCATCCTCTCACAGACAAGGTCAACAGTTCAAGTCTGGCTGGAGGTAAAAATACTCTATAACCAAAAATGGAGCCTATAATCAGATGCGAAGCTCTGTGAAAGTCCAAGTGAAGGTACATATTTAATTTAAGGAATTCTCAGAAGGAAACTGGTATAGCAGAATGTGAGCATTACTATAGTGAGAAATGTGAAGAATGTCATCAACGTTTGTGAAAAGGATTGGCCTTATCTAATATAGAATTACCTCTGGCATCATAAATCCAAATAGGTGTAGTCATGAGATCTATTTCCATTTTGTAGAGTTTGCATCAAGGGTAAAGTAGCCCTAAGGTTTATTATTAAAAAATTAAGTTTGTACTACAGAAAAAACATTGAAAATCAGAGACTTTAAATAAGGAACCCACAGGCAGGTTTCAGGTATAGCAATTAGTAAGTAATCTGTAGGCAGAACCTTTAAATAGACAATGACTAAAGTTGTACAAGTGACTAATTGTAGCCTCATTGATATGCAAAATGTAATACCTCTCTACAATATATGTAAGTTGTAAGTCTTAATAAAAGATTACGAGCCATAGACATTATTCTTTAAATCTGAAAAAAAAAATAAATAGATAATAAGTATAAAATTGCATTTGTAAATGATAATTTAGTATTATAAATAAAGGTTAAAATGGTCTTTAGAAGCAGCATACTATATCAGGAAATTTTATTACTAATTATATATCGATTTATATTGATAAATGCATTATTCCTTGATAATTAACTAATATCAGTATATATCAATTATTAGATGTTCATCAATTATGGCTCAATATCAATAATCAACAAATTTATTTAATCGCTATATATCGATATTTTCATTATAATTTGATACATATCTTACATATTGTATAATATACACTTTAAATTAATAAACAATTATTTTAACATTTAAATATACACTTTAAATTAGAACATAAAAATGTTTGCTAAATATTCGTTTCTTTTGTTAAATCTCAGGACTATATACACAGTTTTATCTATGCTCTTTAAAGGTATACAACTATAGTGTTTTAGCAGCTTCAATTTGAGACATCCACATATTTCATTATCTTCATCATACTAGCGGATTAAAGTGAATTCAAGTGACTCTTTATTTGCTTGATTAAACTTAAGTATTAGCAGTACCTTGATAGATAATAATCATGTTAATTATATTACTCTTGAAGTTAGATAAAAATGACAATATTTTCTAATTTCAAGAGTTATTACGATCTTTAATGTTATTAACCCACATTTATTGCTTTTATTGTTAGATTTGTATTAATAGAATAACTTATAAATATATTGATACTTATTAAGCTATACTAATTTATTTCTTTTTCACTGTTACTTCCATTAATAATAATGTTAGAAAACATCGGACTTCCATGAAAATTTGATGTAACCCAAATTATATTAGTACTTTCTAAAGAAGCAAAAGAAAACATCTTCATGTGATTATCATCAGTAAGGGACGTTACTGATTCTTCTTCAAAAAATTGATCGGGACCTGTTAGTAAATTTTAAAAACCTTCAACTTGTAATGGGTCCAAATTATTTATATTATTTTCAAGAAAATCATCTAGCTCATTTAAACCTAATAACCATAAAGATTTACTAAACCCTTTCGTTTTACGATATTTTTTTTGAGTTTCTTGTTCTGTTAGTTGACACCATTTAACCTATTAACAATGATTATTAGTAATGTTTAGCGAAAGTTTACTATATTTAAAACTTATAGTATTTATTATTTGTTTCATATAGTCTTTTTTATTAGACATGCGATAAGAGATTTTTATATAATCCTTATGAAGAGTATCATAAGTCTCTGTGACCATACTATTTATAGATCCATACTCTTCAATTGCAGGTACTATATGATAGCACCAAGCATGAAGTTTAGGAAGCTGAAGATCATTTTGAACATATTTTGAAAATATTTCAATGAATTCTTAGATCTAATTCAAAATGAAGGTCCGTGAAATTAATCGTTAGTAATCTAATATTTTAAAAAGCTAAGTATTTATGTTATACCTAAAGCTGGTTACAAGAATCATTAGTAAACAATTCTTTACAGGTGGCAATATACATTCTAAGGAATTTGTAATAAACTTGGCATAACTGTTTATTACTAATTCCTGACTTCCTATAATCCTTATATAGATTGTCAAGAGTGAAAATGATTATTTTTATTATATTTGCAGTTTATTAGCTGTAATATGCTTTATATCTAATATATTCTTTATTATTTTAAGGCCACTATATCGAGGAATCAATGTTAATCGCTGTTCAAAGGTTTGCATTATTTTACTCCCACATTGGTCATATAAAAGATCTTTAGTATAGTTTAGCATATATTTAAAGAGACCAAGATCCAAAGCATGCATTCGATTAGGTACAATAGCCTTATATATATTAAAGTTTCTAAAAGTTTATTATATATAACAACATATATTTTTAGTACATTACTATGATAACAATAAACTAAATCTCATACCTTATGTCCCAAAATGCATTTTTTTCAGAATGAATTGAATAATACTGATTATCTCCATTATCTATCACTTGAATCATAAAATCTTGAGTTCTTGGAATTATTTTTATTAAATTAGTATTATTCAAGTCATCTTTTAATACTAAGCATTTTCTATATGGTCCTCTTGAAGAAGCTGACTGATAAATGTTGACAAAATTATCGGCCTTAGCCATGTTTACAATAATTATCGATATATGTGGAATAAAAGTGATTATATTTCCACGTACTACAAAATAAAGCTCTGGTTCTTCAACAATGGGCTTAAGAAAAATCAATATGCATTTTTGAAAGATTTTCCTCTGTACTTTTTGGAATCTATTAGACTTTTTCATTTTAGAATCTTTAGCTTTTAAGATTGGAAGATACCCAATTAATATTTTGGATTCTGGTTTGTTTCTTTAATGATTGGGAATATTTTCAAGTGATAAAAACAAAGGGTGCCCAGAAGATTTTCCTATATGATCCAGGGTTGTTGCATCTGAATAAAGGATAAACAATAATAAACATTGCCTAAGGAGCAATTCTGATTCTTCTCACTTCTACCAATTATCATGATATTGTTTGCTGAAGATTTTATACTCTACATTATTCCTTATTTCTCTTTTATCTTCATGTTCAAGAACCAATGACTGATTAATACTATCGATTATTATTAAAGCTTTATAGTCTTAATTAATAATCGATAGTAAAAAATATATTCAATGTTTTTAAACTTTTTTATAATAATTTCTTTGAACATCATATAAGGTGAAATAGATTAATCACGAAATTTCTTTTCAGTCTTTGTTGATGGTGGAAGCAGAGAAGTATCCAAATTGACGAATTTATTAAAGAAGGTTATAAAAGCATTACTAGCTGAATTTAAAAGTCGATACTTATTAATTATCTCCATAAATTCATGATAAACATCGTTAGGCCATTCGATATTTTGTGAGTGGTACAAGTCATCAAAAGCATCATCAAATGAAGCTCTTTCAAAATCTTCAAAATCGATTTCAACCAACTCATCAATAACATCATCTGATGAAGTATCTCTGTAGTCTTCAAGATCACTTTCATTAGACATATTTTGAGATACTTCATTTTCCATCACATTATCAATTGAAAGACATTTTATTTTTATATAAGAAGGCTCACTTGGAGTTAATTCAGATGAGATTGATATATTTTCACTCTATATGAAATATTATCATTATATATCACTTTATAACAATTAAAAATATAACTATTTACCTTATATTTTGTAGCAAAATCACTAGAACTATATTCTGGAAGATTCCAAATATCATCATTATCTAAATATTCTCTAGAAACTATATTATTTGTGAAATCTTGAAGATAAGGAAGACTTTGTGAAATATGTTGTACTAATATGAATGATTTCGAAAATCTTCGATTACAATACTCACACTACCAATGCATTTTAAGAAAAAATGAAAAAAAATGAAAAAAAAGAAAGATATAAAAAAAAAAAAAGAAAGATATTAAAAAGAAAAAAATTTAAAAAAAGATATAAAAAAAAATCGAAAATAATCGTTAGAAATCAAAAAAATCAAAAAAGAATAAGAAAATATA